CAAAAAATATGTTACCCCAGAGGCACTACCTCCATTGCTGACCCATTGGCCAGCATTGGGTCCATCTTGGAGCCGTCTGGCATTGGCTGTATTGGACATAGGGGAATCTTCTAGCAGCTTCTCACAGAAGCCATCCCTGTAGCCCCCTGCTACCAAAACCTTGCCACACAAACACAATAAAAGAATGTTCTGGTTTATTTGGCTTCTTCATTTTGGAATACAATTGAGATTTTCTCCACTAAAACAGTTTGAAACTTTTTAAAACATTTTAAACTGTTTACAAACAGGCATATACTCTTTAGCGTGAAGAGTCTCATTCTAAGCATACAGGTAAATGCTCATATTACAGTATGCACATCAGGCATATTGTTATTAAACAAAAAAAATCTAAAACTTGGCTTGAACAAGCCAAACTGCTGCTGGATGTTTTTCTAGCACCCTCCACCACTTACCTGGGACCATTTTTGTGAATCTGCATGTTCTTGAAGAGATGAGGCATAGGTAAAGACAAAGTAAGCATTCCATTGTTAACGTTTCTTTTTCCCTTAATATTGTATCACAGTAATAATTCCTTTTGTGCAAGTTATTATTTAGTTTATCCAGTAATAATCATTTTTAATTAGCAATTCTTAATTTGCTTTTGTTTTATGTGGAAAGATAGTCAGAATTTTTTCTCTGTCTCTCTTTTCTGCTTACTCCAAACTCCAAGAGAGTTGCATTTGTGATTTCTTTTTCCAAACATAAATGATCTAATAATGAAATTCTAAATCCTCTATGCATAAGCTATTGAGAAAACAAAGCAAACAAAAAACCCCCTCTGAATCAATATGGATACATTATCTAGACTTACAAGCTATTGCTTCAGAATAAAAATCATGGAGCCAAATATATCATTAAGAGAATATTGCAAAACTCAGATATGGTCAAAAGTGCTACCTGACCTCCTGACCCCTTCCCTCCCCCAGCTCAGTGCTAATGACACACAGCAAAGTCACCTGGAACTATCCTCTGCTTTCCAGCTGTATCCCCATGTGCTCATTA